CCAGGGGCGGGGGAAGGGCTGAGCCCTTTTGTCTGGAGCAGCGTGTCCCCACGGCAGTGATGGCGGCCTGGGCTGGTTGCAGGAGCCTCCCGACGCTGCATGCTGATGAAGTGAGATGGCTAGAGAAACCACAGTGTGGCTGCCTTGTGAGAGTGGGGAGCACCCTATTCCCCTCTCCAGATGGGGCAAATGTAGCTTCCACTTTGGGGTAAGTGAGCTTATGAGTAATTTGGAAAATAATGAGTATGAACCACTTCATTTTAAATGTTGGGAGAAAGTATTTTTTAGTATGTTTTCAAAGCTGCAGAAGAGCAGTGAGTTTTCAGTGAATGTCACATTGATCACGTCCCTCTGTCTTTAGGGAGGTGCAGACCATATTTCAGAATAAAATACGCAAGTGTAGAAATAAATGGTAGGTGACCTTTAATTTCACATTAGAAACTGACTTTGAAATTTTGGAGAGGCAAAATATGCTGTACTGATGAGGTGGTCACAGTGCAGTGAAAAAAACCTGACTTATCAGCAGGATCCTGTAAGTACTCCATAATGGTATGTTAGGACTGCTTGGGAGGCTTTGCTCTTTGCTTATACTTGGAGAATTAATTCAGGTACACACAGAAGTTGGGAGTGTGTATAATGGTGCATTTTCCTCTGGGTGCCTCTCCCACAGCAGATGCCCAGGCTCTTTTTGTTTCATTTAACTGAAGGCAGACATGATTATTAGTTTTTCTCTTCACTCTTCCTCCTGTTTTGTGTCAGTGTCATCGGCCATCCTTAGCAGGATGTGATGTTTCAGTTGAATCACGTAACGGTGATACAACTCAGGGCTTATCTTTCATCCTTTTTTGGGATTCCTTCTCCATAGATCTGTTCTGATTGTGCTCAGCTTCTTGGGGGCTGGTTTGTTATTCACAGAAGTCAGTGAAAAATGCAATATGACACATTTTGCCTTGGCTGCAATGTATTTTCTCAAGTGAGTCTAAAGATCAGCTGAAGTGCCAGTTTGCCCCTGCTCTCCTTTGTATTCCCAAGGCATTCAAGCTTGTCATGCTGTGCTGGCGATTTATTAGTGTTAGCAGTGTCACATTCAGAAACAATCAATGGTGAGTGGGTTTCAAGTCTCAGTGTAGGAACCACCAGAATCAGTCAGATTTTGTACTGGAGCAGCACCAAGGTGAACTGGTGCCATCAGAGAGTCGTGCTCTGCGAGCCTGCGAAAGCTTGCAAAGCCCGGCTGTTTGGCCAGTAAGATGGGATCTCCTGTAAGAAAGGGCAGAAAACCCTGCAGTGTTTGTTCTCATTCTTCTGAGCGTGTCTTTTTGGGGAGAGGTTTCAAAGCCCTGTGTTCCTGCGGCAAGGAGCTGGGTAGGATGTGTGATGACAGATAATGAGACTTGGTGGAGAGCACGGCTGAGAAATGCAATTTGTCCTTCCCCTCATTTTCTTCTGAGATTTTTGTGTTGCTTCCTCTGCGGGCCTGTTCACGTTCTCCTGTGAAGGTGGGTGCTTGGTTTTCCCCAGTGGTTTCTTGCATGAGAGGTGTCTTGGTGTTTTAACAGAGGATTTTGGGCAGAAGGTTTGTATTTTGCTTTGCTGTTTGTGCCCGTTGGTGTGAGACTTTCCCCAGATCATGGCAAGACATGGGAGCTGTCAGTTCTTTCTCTGTCCTGAAGGCGTGGCTGGGGTTGTCAGATGATGGTAGG